TATTTAATATACATAACTAAATAATAGCATTAAGTCGATTTTCGGTTTAGTTCAGTTGAAATTTTCAATCAAATATAACTGAAATAAAAAACTGCTTTTTAAATAAAACCCATTCGACATTGACGACTAAACTAGTGACTTGTAGAGGTGTAAATCGGGTCGTGCTGGTATGTGGGTGACCCACATAAAGTGCAAGTCGCGTTGTCCCGAGCTGTGCCACCCTCTCCTGGGATAACTTGGGGGGTCGGCCTGGCATGGCCAATGGCCCAAGCTTGCACAAGCCCGTGGTGCTGTGGACTGGGCTGGTTCGTGGGCAAAGTTGGGCCAAAGTTATTTATTTAAAAAATTTGAAAAAAAAAGCTTAAAAATTTATTTTATATGAATTTTGATGTATACAATTGCTTATATATATAGTAATTAAATAAATTAATATAATCAAATTGCAAACAATTGTTTATTTTATTAATATATTATTATATATTTATAATTTATATAAATATATAAATAATATATATGGGCCATGTCGACATGCGGGCCGTGGGAGGCCTGACCCGTGGACCTAAAACCCTAAGCCCAGCACAACACACATGATCATGTCGGACCTAGCACGATGTTGTCGTGTTAGGCTGGGCCATGCCAGGCTACGAGCAACATAACCCGATTTACACCTCTAGTGACCTGGGACCCAAAGGCAAAAATTGTTAAACCTTTGGGTTGGCTTTTAAATCATTGTTTTGTACTAACTTTAATGATAATTAAATTGTAGCTTGATAGTTGTATTTTGGACATTTACTTGAATGAGATTTGTCTTAGATGTCGATGTCATAACACAATTTTTTCTTTCTTTTTTTTACATATCATCAACATCAATACTTTAAACCATGATTCAAATACATGCCTTATATAATCGAGCCGACCAGATCATAAAAGCCCCAACTCTTAAGATTATGGAATGATAAAGAGCATAATGTTCATGGTTTATAATGGGATTATGATTGATGTTCAACACGTTCCTTACCTATGGTCACCATACGTGGATGCAATATTAAATTTAGTTGAAAAATTTTGTATTGTAGAGACAATGTTTTATCCATCAAGAATAAATGCAAATTTATTAATTTCCCAAAGCCATTTTCTTTTTCTAAGGCTGCATTTGAAAACAATGTAAATAGAGTGTATATCGTGGTTCAAGGTAAGTTTGCACTCTAGTTTACTTTTGCATGTGTTTGGCAACATTACATTTATGCATCGACAAATGACAGACCAATACATGTTTACATCGATAATAAGATAAAGTCCATCAATAAAAAATAAGTAAATTTGCATTCAAGTAGGCTCTTAATAAAAAAAAAACATATGCTTTGTTAGAATTCACGTTTGCATCCATTATTGCTGAAAAGTCTGTTTGGTAATTATAAGGTAAATTTGTTAGTGCAAAACTAAACCAATTTTGCAATTTATATGAACCATTTTACACTCTACATATTTGCATTCACACTTATTTGCATTGTTTTCAAACACAACCTAAAGATTTATGGGGTGTCCCATCTCATAATTTTTTACTTGTTTATTTACCAAAACATCAACCTATTATATAGTACCCCTTATATTTTAATATACTCCCTTGCTTATCACTATTCCTCTAACTATGTAAATCAATAAAAAATCTATGAGCAGGAAAATCAATAAACCCTCCTTTATGTCTTTGAGGGAAATAGAATATTCATTCTCATTTATTTGTTAATGTGGTCATTGTTTGTCATGATGCCTTGTATCACAATGCTTCAATAGCCTCATGTTATTTATTTATGTTAGGCCCCATTTGTTTACAAATTTCTCACTTACTCGGGAAAGTGAAATTGCCCAGGTAAATGTTTCATAGGTAACAATTACCCGGATAAGTTTACTTACTCATGTTATTTTAATTCAATTAAAGTAATAATGACCTTTTTATCTATAAAAGCTAATGTTAAAACCAACAAAATTATCCCATCATGTTTTATAAACTCCCCCATGCGGTAAAGCTATTTACCCAACTAGGATATTGGTAAGTTTTACTCACGTAAATAAAGTTATATTTAACGCAAGGCCCATTATTTAATGCAAAAATAATACTGTAAAGTTGGTAAATGATAAAGAGATACCCACTGACCAACTTTCTCCCTCTTTATTTATCGATAAAGGAACAGTGCCTTAGAGGAAAGCTTTATGTTAAATGCTATTGTAATATCAATATAGGGATGTCATATAGCCCAGGTAATACTTATTTATTTATTTATTTTTGACAGGCCATGTAGCCCATGTAAGACTTGGGATCGTAAATGAATTGGGTTTAATTCACGTTTCATTTAAGTTGAACTTGGGCATTGTCTAACCATTGCCTTTAGAAACATGATCCACTCACTGCTTGGATTAAGCCTAATGAATACTTTTAGTGAGCCTAACCCAAAACTCCAAGTTAAGTTAACGATGGGATATAGGTTGAGTTGGAATTTAAGAATGATTAAGTAGGTGTTTGGCATAAATGATGGGAACATCACACATTTTTCTGATAAAAACGGTGTTTGGCATGTGGAGTTGTAAGAATTGTAACGATGCTTATTTTTTTGTTTGGAATCAGTATTGCCACATAAGTGTTTTATGAGAAAACAACACTGGTTTTGTTTGGTGCCAGTACTTGCTGCAACATTTTCAACATTGATCTTATTATCCAACGTCCAATATGATGCCATGTCATTGCATCGTTGGTAGCAACACACCATTTTCACATAAAACATCAAATTTGGCATTGCTCCAGGCCATACTTTCCCGACTTCCAATGTATAATTTGGAGCAACATTTTTTTTATTGAGAAAACAATACCAAACAAGAAGACATTGCTTCTAACATAATTTTCTATAACATGTCTACATAGCACTATTTTCTCAAAAAACAATACGGATGCCAAATACTACCTAAATTGTATTGGGTTAAGGTTAGGGGTTCAAAACCTTGGGTTGGGATAGTGTTGGTCTCAAATAGACTTGTTCATGGGCCGGCACCGGGCTCGGGATTTGCCAAAATAGCCTGACCCGACCTATAACTAAACCTAAAAACCCTAGTTGAAGACCCTCTCTCTTTTTCGCCTCTTTGCCTCTTTCCTTTATTTTTCCAGCCGAACTATTCTTCTCCAGTCTCCACACCCTCCACAGTTCTCAACTTCTCATCCTCAGAGGCAGCCACACAACCGGCGAGGCGGCGAACGTTCACCATCGCAACAACTCCGGCGGTGAGTCCTCACTCCTCTCCTTCTCTCTCTCTCACTCTTTCTTTCTCTTTCTTTTTCTTTTTCTCTCTGACTCTCGTTCCTCTTCTCAAATCTCAGACACTGGCGACGGCAAGGCGGCGAATATAGGCATCGGCTGCGGCGGAGAGTTCTCTCTCTCTCTCTCATTCTTAGACGCGAACTGATCACTGTTAAACTTAAAATCGCAGGTCGCAGGCTCCCAGCTCACAGACCACAGTCACCGCAAACTTAGTTCCGACGAACACAATCACCGACGAACACATTCATCGGCAAACACAATCGGGCTTCGGGCTTTTTATCAGGGCCGGGCTCGGGCCCAGGTTGTAGGCCCGTTGGTCGGGCTGGGCTCGGACTCGGGCCTAACAAATTTTCATTAATGAAGAATAAAAGCCCGACCCGAGCCCGACTATGAACAAGTCTAGTCTCAAATGACCTAACTCAGCACATTTACCCCCTTATAAAGACAATCAACCCATTTTCATCATAGGTGATATTTTTAAAACTACTTAGGGGTGATGATGAGTCAAACTGAACCACAATTGAAATATAAAGGCTTATATCATATATATATATTATTAGTTTGACTATAATAATGTCCAAACTAATAATATATCGTAAAAGGGATAACCGCGGTTCATAAACAAAAAGAGCATCATACATTTTTCGGCATTATAGATTTTGCCACATTATATTTGAATATGTATAATAGTTTATATTATGTGATATATAATAATTTACATATACTTACATGTATAATATACATAAATATATTTATATACTTTTTAGCCAGGCCCGGCCCAACCCACCTAGCTAGAGATGTTTACCTTCTTGTGCTCTGGCCCGCCTGATTCAGTTGGTATGTTGTAATTGCACTTCCGACATCATCCATTGTTGGTCCATAAAAGTAAATATATATAAATAAAAAATAAAACAGAACTACTGGAGCCCACTATCCCAGATCAGACGGTTGACGGTTACTGCACCATCAACAATGACTCTTTAATCTTTATAACATCTTTCTATTACTAAAATATAAAAATCTTTTCATCCGTGGCTTGCGCTAAGTGAAAGATGACGTGGCACATGAATTGATGTGGCTCACTACCTAATTGGCACCGTACGGGAAATTGAGAATCCATACCATTCACTTATTTTTTCTCCGAACCATTCGATCAAAAAGTTAAGATTCCGTTTTAGTGGCAGATAAAGAAAACCACATTAATCAGAAATAACTTTTGGCCAATCACATCCGATTAAACGGTTAAGAAAAACAATTCTCAGTACACAAGCGAAGCACTACGTGGTTATCACAAAAAAACCACTTTTGCCAAGACGGGGTTTTAGCGCAGCGTTACAAGCACGAAATCAAAGCCTTCGATACCCCACTTTAATTGGATAAAGTGGCGTTATGGTGGGTCCATAGCTATAGATCAAAGGCCACGATTCACGGTTTACCGAAGGCGATGATTCAGGCCAAGGGCATTAAGAGGAAGATGGAAGTATAGCATAACAGAAACGGATGCATGAACTTCCACGTACCGATAACAAGCTAAGCTGTTGCTCCGCGTACGCGTTGATGGCAAATAGGTAAATAAGTCTGTCTATGACATATTCGACAAAAAATGGAAGGGTAGTTTCGTGATTCTGGTGAAGGCCGAGGGCATTAAGAGGAAGATGCTATTATTTAAATGACAGGAGCAGAGAGAAGAAAAAACAGCAGCAGCAGCAAAAGCCATCCATAAAAAGGGCGTCTCTCAGACCTGTGGTTTTCCATACATCGCAGGGCCTTCGACTTTCTCCATCGCGCTTTCTCCTCCTCAGAGATTCATCTGCTTCTCACGATCCACCACTGTAAGTCTGCGTGTTCGAATTTCAAAAACCCCGATCCAAGTTTTTTTTTTTAATAATTTTTTATGCATTTGGATTCTCGAATCCTCATCGGGATCCCTAGATTCGTTGTTGGCTGCTGCTCTTCATTTCTCTTTGTCTTTAATTTGGTGATGCTTGCGAGCTTTTCGTTCATCTCTGCTATTCTTTTGTTGATTGGCATGTTCGTCTATATTCACTTTCCAATTTTCTACGCGTTTTGTGACGGATTTTATTAGATTAGGTCTTCAAATTATAGTTTTGGACTATCGGATCTCGATTACAAGCAAGCAGTTCTGATTGAACCCTTTACTTTGATCTATCGTTGTTTTATTTTTTTTTTCCGCGTGGCGGAAAGTAAGAATGCATCTCTCCATTATTGTTTAGATTATGCTGTCCTACGTTTAATATGGCACCTTTCTGAACCATATTAGGGCGGGCTGATGTGTTTGTATTTGAGTTAGGGCTTACGGGGTTTGATTTGTGATTTTCCGAGGTGAGGTAGAACTCCGGTTATTACCACGAATTAGACGTTACAATTAGCGTTTGCAGAAACTATGATTTACCTCCTGATTTGTATAAAAAAAATTCGTGAAGATGGGAAACATAGGCTTTATGATTTTGAACGCGGAACATATAAGGGGGACTATTGGTACACCATAAATTGGCGATGCTGAACCTGACTCACTGATTAATGTTTTTTTAACCTTTTTTTGATTCTATCATTTGTTTTTTAGCCCCTACCCTAACCACCCTTCAAACCATAAGAATAGAGAAAGTATACAACTTTAATAATATGTGTATTTTTTCTGTATCTGTGAAATTTATGCTAGAGAATTCTAAATAGTATACAAATTGATGTTTCATATTATCTTATTACCTCTCTTTCATTTGTTAAATCTTTAGGTTAACCATGAGTGACGAGGGAGAAAAGACGTGTCCTCTCTGCACTGAAGAGATGGATTTGACAGATCAGCAATTGAAGCCATGCAAATGTGGTTATGAGGTTCCATATACCATCCCTTCTGTGTGTGTGTGTGTGTGTCGAATTGCAGGGTCTTTGTTCATCTGTATCCTGTTACTTATCCTGCATTTCTGTTTGCATAATGCAAATGCTTTGAATTTGATACATGTCTAACAAAAGGGAAAAAAGAAACTACTAACTTCTTATAAAATATTATATTTTTCCATTTATCATTACAGATATGTGTTTGGTGTTGGCATCACATAATGGACATGGCCGAGAAGGATGATACAGAAGGGAGATGTCCAGCATGCCGCACACCTTATGACAAGGAAAAAATTGTTGGGATGGCAGCCAACTGTGAAAGGTTGGTGAACCTTATTTGGCAACTACTCATCTGCTGGATATCCTGTTGGGAACATAACTCATATTCCATTGTCTTGTCATCTTGTGGGCAGATTGGTAGCTGAAATCAATTCAGAAAGAAAACAGAAGTCACTGAAGGCAAAACCAAAAACATCTGAGGGTAGAAAGCATCTTAGCAGTGTTCGAGTAATTCAGCGGAATCTGGTGTATATAATTGGGATACCTTCTAATTTAGCAGATGAAGATGTGGGTAGCTCCTTCATGATGTTACATCTTTCCATATCAAGTTTCTATTTGAGTTGTTAAACTACTAACCTTTGTTCATTTACTTTTTTTGTTAATTTCAATATTCTGAGTATTTCTAAACAGGTTCTTCAGCACAAGGAATACTTTGGACAATATGGAAAGGTTCTAAAGGTGTCTATTTCTCGAACATCTGGGGGTGCTATTCAGCATTCTGCAAACAACACTTGTAGTGTGTAAGTCCAGATGTTGTTTAATGCTCAGTAGTCTATTTTTGGCTGACTTTTTCAAGTAAAAGTTTTCTATCAGTTGTAAAATGCTCACTATTATACATTGCTTATCAAAAAAAGCTCATTGTTGTTTGTTAGCTATTTAGAATCTTTCTTTCCATTTACATTCAAGGCAGTGGAATTGGTTCACAATCATTATTATCTTTTACTTCCATAGTATCAACTGCTCGAAGTCTATTTTTCATGCATCATTTTTATCGTAATTTCTCTTTGAAGGGCTTGTTGCTACTTTGTCTTTACTTGTTTCAGTTGTGAGGTTGCCAGGTTGGATCTAGACTAATTTGATGTTTCAAATGTTGATATAAGTTTATGTATCTTTCCATGATTAATTTTTGCACACTTGTTTTCTACCTTTTTGCTCAGATATATTGCTTCCAGATGTTCGTGTGTAATATGCATCTTTCTATTGGTAATTGTTTTTCCCCGTTTTGACTCAGATATATTACTTACTCAAAAGAGGAAGAAGCAATTCGATGTATTCAATCAGTACATGGTTTTGTCTTGGAAGGAAGATCCTTGAGGTAGGGACATAGTTCATTTTCTAATGGTTGCATGGATAAGCTTTACCTTGATCAATATATTAATGACTGGGGGTTTTCCATTTCCAGGGCATGCTTTGGAACAACAAAATATTGCCATGCATGGCTAAGAAATGTGGTATGGAATATGGATAGATTATTTTGTTTGCAGTTTGTGTTTTCTATGAGATTCTCTTTTATAAAGTCTGAAGGAAGGTTTCTGTAATTTCACCAAGAGAAACATCTTTCTTGGTGCAGCCCTGCAGCAATCCAGACTGTTTATATTTACATGACATTGGTACTCAAGAAGACAGCTTCACTAAAGATGAGATTATTTCAGCCTATACAAGGTTTAATTATTTTGTTTGCAAGTTTTGATATATTCTGTTCAATCCTTTCTTTTCATCACCTCCTGTAATGATATTAAGTGTATGAAGCTTGTTATGGGATTGAACCATTTCTGTAGAATTTATATCTAGAATGTCCTATTCCCCAATAAACATGGAAACCAATATGTGCCCACCCTTCAATGGATCCCACTGTCAATATGTTCTGCTAGTTGTCCAATAAAAACATGTTTGCTAATAGTGCTTGATGTTTCAAGAGGAATCATACAGGTTCCACAAATGCATTAATTTGACTATGTTTTTGTGTGTATCTGTATAAGAGAATTATTGAGAGAAACAAATCGGTTTTGACACTCTACAGATTCCCACATTTTCTCTACCAAAAAGCTAGCATCAAGGTTAACTTGGAAATTGTGTAAATCAAGTGCTTAAAAGCTACAGGCAACTATTTTGTTGGCCCTCCCTCTGGGGGATGTTTGTATAGGCTTGTATATGGTGGTGAGTTTTTCAAGGCTTGTTTGCCTTCTCTTCTGTTTTGTGATATCGTCACTTCTGGTGGTTGTATATAGAACAAGTAGTTTCACGATGATGATTTATTCTAGTAAAAGATAAATTTTAATCTCTATTCCTTCACAGCAGATTCTGCCTTGCCTTTTCCACTTGCGCCCCCTATCCAAACACAACTTTATGGATATGAACCTCTCCTACTATTGAATTCTTTTTTTTTTTTTTTTTTTCATTTTTCACTTGTCTGTGGTGCACATCACATGCTTGTAGTGTTGTTTTTTCAGGGGCATTTAATATTTTTTTCTCTTTCACTAAATTTATTAGACCTTTTATGGTCTAGGTATGTGTCTTGTTTGGATCTTGTTCATATAGCTAGTTAACTGACATAGTAATTTTAAAGGAGTAGAGTTCAACAAATTACTGGTGCTACATATAATTTGCAAAGGCGTTCAGGAAATGTGTTACCTCCCCCAGCAGATGAGTACTGCAATAGCAGCTCAGGCAAACCTATTGTCAAGAGTGCCTCCAATGTAAGATATTTGGCATTAGCTTTCATTTGGTTTGGAGAAATGTTTTTACCTCTTATAAGCAGTATATTTCTGATTGAACTTGAATATGTTTAAAACACTTGTAATTTAAGGCTTAACTATTGAGCAGTTATGGTGCTGTTCCCCTCTGAATCTTGGGGTTTTTATATTCACTATACTCACTATTACATGTCAGCGGTTTTTTGGGGTTAATGCTAAAAAATAAAGCTTTTAGTTGTGCCATTTATAGAATATCATAAAAGATACATATGGCCCTTGTTTGATTTTAAGTGTAACTTGGTTGTCTTTAACTAGCAGAATCCTGTAAGCCAGGTCAAAGGTTCTCCTCCTAATAGTAGCTCTGGAAGATCTGTTGCCCTTCCAGCAGCAGCTTCATGGTATTGTTTCAACTCTCTTAGATTACTTCCCTAGTATTTTTTCTTTATTTTAGAATAATTTGGTGTATATATGGTGCTACTATTAAAGTTCTCATTTTATCCAGGGGCATGCGTGCTTCAAATTGCCGGCCAATAGCTTCAAATTTAGTGTCTTCCAATGGACCGACCAAACAAAAAACTGACACATGTAATGATTCAGTGGTTCTCCCTTCATCAGTTACAAGTACAAGCCTGACCTCTACGTTGCCTACAGATGTAGGAAAAGTTTCTACAGTAACTGAAGATTTCACACATCACAGTGGAAGATCAGGGTCATTGGACTTGTCTAAACCGTATATTGTCAGAGAATGCCACAAAACTGCTGTGGATGCTCCTGCACACCCAGAGCTTGTCCAAGGTGCAGCGCTAACTCTTGTGACTTACAATCACCTGTCTTCTCTTCCTGAATCTAAGGCTAAAGACGGAAACATCATGACACTACCAAACTCAGTATACTCAGATCTTCACAGACAATCTTGTGGTTCTGTTCCCAATAAAGAAGAGACTGATACTGCAAATGGGAGCATTCAAGATTTGTGCTCTGAATTATCAGCAGTTAGTGTTGATAGACATTCTCGGGTTGATCATTCTGAACCAATTCGATCCAGTGGTTTAGATGACAATCATCTTGTGGTTATATCGCCTAGAAGTCAAAGATTACATTCACAGAATTCTGATAAACTAGGAGAACAATTAACCTCACTGCCATCAATGAAAGTGGCCACACCATCTGATCGGATCTGTGATTCAGGAGAATCTTGTGATTGGAGGTCGGATTCACAAGCACAGACTCTTCAGAATTCATGCTTTGAAGCGGAAGAAGAAGATTTTCTACCTTTTGATGATCAAAGAGTAAAAGCTTCAGAAGAAGTTAGTCACCCATCATATTTGCCTCGTGGGCGTAATTCTCCATCTATCTTGAATGATTCTAGTAGTCAATATTCTTGGCAACATGGTGATTCGGGCAGTGCAAGTAATCTTAATAACATAGATTCTAGAGAACATATAACAACTAATGAAGAAGCTTATGTTCCCTTTAAATCTGATGAATCAGTATTATCTAATGGACATAGTGAAAATGATATGAGAAGTTCTACTGAAATGGATGGGTTCTTTGACCACTCCAACCTTTTCTCAAGCATGGAGAAAGGCAAATCTATGGCAAGATTTAATGATGATATTGCAAAGGCTGAAGAGAATGCTACTTTAGACATGGGAGAGAGTAGCATCATATCAAATATCTTGTCGATGGAATTTGATGTGTGGGATGACTCGTTAACATCTCCTCACAACTTAGCGAAGTTGTTGAATGAATCTGATAAACAACAGGGTTCTTTGAAAATATCAGGGTCATGGAAGGTTCAGAACAGCAATCAATCCAGGTTCTCTTTTGCAAGGCAGGATGAGTTTGCAAATGAAGGAGCTGGAATTGAGCCATCTTTCAGTAGTGTGCCTAACAAATATTCGCTGTCTCAAGATTCTTTGGAAAGCCGGGATAATTTCTTGGAGAAGCTTCGGAATGGGTTTTCATCCAGTACTTTAGAGGAACCTGATCCTTACTCTAGCATTCATTCAATTTTCTCTTCTAACAAGCTTTCTGGTGAGTTCTATTGAGTTTAATATTGTTGCCTGTGCTTTAACTTCTATGCTAACAATGGTTAAGATAGCAGCAGCAGAACCACCATCATCCATACCAAGAACAACCATAATCAACAAGAATATTGGTTTTTCATTTTCATTTTGTTGCTTTTCGTTTTCATGGTTGCATTATGTGGCTTCTGGTCCCTTGTTTTTTCAGTGGCTTCCTTTGATCCCTTCTGCCCTAATTTATTATAAAATATTTATTTCATATTTCAATTTGGCTTGATACTGTGTTCAACTTCCTCTTTTGTCTTAAATCGTCAAGTGGTTAGATATTCTCTGGTATTATCTATTTTATATGCCGATTTTAATATGAACTTTCAGCTATTTGTCATCTATCGTCGTGGAATTGTAAAAGGTTTATTAGAAATAATACAAAGCTGATGTTTTTTCTTTGTTTTTGTTAATCTTTTTTGATAGGAAACCATAACTTCAATAATTAATTAGAGTACAACTGTCACCACCAGAAAGATTGTGAGCCTTTAACTAAAACAGTGTTACAGACAAGCCCAAAATAAAGCCTCCCTGTTGACTCCTTGCTTTCCATCTAACTTGTACCCCAAGCTCCCTTGCTTGACATAAAATCTCTCTTATATTTTGTTTGAAGGCCCAAGTTCCCAAGCTTCTTGTTTGCAGCCAACCTGTTACCAACTTGGAATCTCCTTCCACATATAGCTGTTGCAGTGCCCATTGTTTAGTCAATCTTAGACCTTGGAGTAGACCTAAAACTTTTGCCCTTAAGCAATCTCCTACCCTAATTGGGCCAGAGTAAATGCCTAGCACTCTTCCTTCATTCCTAAAGACACCCCCAATTCCATAAGGACCTAGGTTACCCATAGGGCTTCCATCAAAATTCAATTTCACCCTACAAGATAGAGGTGGGAACCAGCTTTCTTGAACAAAGAAGAGGAAGAGGAAGAGGAAGCTGGTATGGCACTTCATCCCCTAAAGATGTCATCTGAAGAAAGGTCCTTGAAAAGATCCAAAGTTTTCAACCAATGTATAATCTTGAAGGTTATGCCCTTGGAAGGTCTTGCTGTTTATTTCTTCCCAAATTGACCACAGTATAGCTGCTCTAGTTGTTCTCCACGTCACCATACCCCTCTATCTTACCAAAAACATACCCCTCTAGTTGTTCATCCTATTCTCGTATGTGATTTAGTATTTTTGTTTTTATGTGATGAGAAGATATCATCTGAAGAAAAGTCCTTGAAAAGATCTAAAGTTTTCAACCAATGTATGATCTTGAAGGTTATGCTCTTTGAAGGTCTTTCTGTTTCTTCCCAAATTGGCCATAGTATAGCTGCTCTAGTTGTGTTCTCCACGTCACCATACCCCTCTATCTTACCAAAAAATACCCCTCTAGTTGTTCATCCTATTCTCATATGTGATGTAGTATTTTTGTTTTTATGTGATGAGAAGATATCAGGCGAAGTGCAACAGTTGGGGCTTATCTGTTGTGCATTTCAGCAGAAAGGAATAGAAGGATAACTTAATAATTTTTTCTTTTTTCTTTATTACCAAAAAAATGGGTACGAGGAGATTGATAAAAAAAACAGTATGAGGAGGCATCCACATTAAAGTTGTCATAGAATGAATTATGAGAAGGGCTGGCCAATTGGGTTTATGTTTCTGACCATAGTTGTCAAGGCGCCTAGGCGAGCCTAGGCGATGGCAGGTGCTCAGTCGCCTAGGCGATGGAATTTGAAAGTATAAAATATATATCCCTACCCCTCTTAAGCTATGTTATTGGTTTTTTATACTAACCAACATACCTGTATGCTAGCTATTAGCAATAAAATCATTCGAATAAAACATAAAATGCCATAGCTAGCATCCAGGCCAAAAAAAAATGGGGGATTGCAGATAAGAAAAGAGTGAAAAATAAGGGGGCAGAGCCCCTGTTTCGTTCCCAACGTAAGTTGTCCAAGAGGACAATGTGGACTGTGTTTAAGGGGGTTGAGACCCTGTTTCAGGCTAAAAAAAATGGAGGAGGATTGTTAAAAGTAAGAAAGGAGTACGAGTGTGATTTTAGGAAGGAGGAGGAGGTGGCGGAGCCCCTGTTTCATCCCAAAAGAAGAAGAAGAAGAAGAAGAAGAAGGAAAAAACGTACTTGGAGGTCTTGGATTACTTGGAAACTTCCCATCATCGTTTTCTCTTCCTAGCTCTCTGTCTCAGCTCTCATTTTCTCTTATTTTTTATTAAAGTAAAAGAGAATTACTTTAATAAAAAATGATAATATACAACAGGGTGTATTCTAATAAGATAAAACAAACCAATAAAAATGATATAATACATATGCACATTCAAAAAAATAGTATAGCATATACATGGGTGAGTGCCTAATACAAAAATACCTAGGCGTTGGGTGAGGCGACTTCTAAAAACTGCCTAGTCGCCTAGGCGTCGCCTTGACAACTATGTTTCTGACATGTTCAAAGCAAGGATTAAAATATTGATATACATGATACTCAAAGTTGGGTATCGGTGAGTATTGATATCACCAATACTCTCTCTCTCTCTCACACACCCACATTTTTTTATTTTGTAATCATTAGAGGGTTGAGGCCCATAATTCCGAAGTTAGTTTTTTAAAATGCTTTTATATCAGCATATCCATGTATATCTGTATGCACTGTACCGTATTGATTTTTAATCCTTGGTTCAAAGTGCTGTTGTGCATGGGCAGCCGGGCATTAGTTGGAATGAGGTAACAATCTAGCAGTCAGGAGATATGCCTCCTGACTAACTAATATACATGTTTGCCTTTAAGAAAAATGATTTTTGAAGATATTTAAAGATGTTTATTAGAACAAGACAAAGAAGAATTCTAGAAAAAGTCCAGGCTCGACAGCCCTGGAGTGTATAAAAGGGGGGAGCAGATCCCCAAAGCATACAATGTTTTCAGACAACAGAATATCCCAGCCTCAATTTCAGTCCCCTTCCTTCCTGAGGTCCTCTACTCTCAGCCTTGGGGGGGGGACCAGTTCAGTCACCATCACCAACTCCACCTTAAGACTGCCATTACAAGGGGAAACTCAGTTCCCCAAACAGATACCCAGTCAGTCCAGCTCCATACACCAAGGAAACCAACCTAAACCACATCTCACCCACCACTTTCAGAAATTCCAGACTGCCTTTCCCTACTAGGTCCCCATTACAATTAGAGACCATGATTCATTAGAGTTCAGTCTCATCCACTATCACCCCCATTGTGTTACCTTCGACTTTTAATCTTTTCAACAGGGGTAGCCTACTTTTAGGCCTTGTAGAAGAGCTTGGACTTTCATCCTTGTTGTTCCTTAGCTATTCCCAGGTTTGTTTTTGTCCTTTCCCTGAGGATGGGAGCCACCTATTCATATGAGATGAGCTGCTGTGTAGGTGAAGCAAAAGCAAAAAAATTGTCATCAACTAATACTATAATGATTGCATTAACATTAGGGATGAGCATGCCTGGGCCAGGCCTGGGGCGGTTTTTTGCAGTGTAATAATAGTCTTTAGGGCTGCTTGGGCCCGGTCTTGCGCCAGGCATCTGGGGTTGCTTGAATAAATTAATAAGATCATATTTTATTAAGAATTATTAACTTAATTTTATAATAAAATTATAGAACATATATTAATTTATTATATATACCATACTTGTACATATATATCACAATTTCTGGGCTAAGCGAGCCTAGGGTTTGCATGGCCCAGGTTTGGTCCACATTTGTGTGGGCATAGTGTGGGTATGGGCCAGCCCTGCCTGGAAGAAAATTAGCTGTCCAGGCCGGGCCTGGTTAGTTGATAACACAGTGTATTGCCTTTAGACTCCCTCCTTTCCTCTTCTTGGCATTCACAGTCTGGGTCCTGATAATTGGAGATACAAAGTTGTTTTGAAAAAGCTTCCGGGACTGAGGATATTTCAATCTCTCACTTCCCCCATCCTTTTTAAGTTTTCTTTCTCCAAGAATTACTTCTTTTTAATTCCAGCATTCATTTAGATATTAATAAACATGGGATTCTGGAATTACTGCTTTTGCTCTTTCCATAGTGCTAGAATTCAATCTTTTGAGACTAGACCTTTTCTTATGCAAGTTCCTTCAAAACTAAACTAATCACCTTTTCTAGTCATGCTTGACAATCTGTAACTGACCAATACTTGACAATGAGTCATCTTTTGGGATGGTCACTTTCAAGAGGATTAATACTTTCTCCCTTGGTCATATTTCTATGATGAGGAATTGGGTCACCATCTATTTGCATTTCCTTTTTTCTATATTTGTCTAGTTGACATTTTCTTCAGTGGCATTAATTTTCCCTTTGTGGGTGTTGCAATGCTACATAATTTGTTTCTTTTGTTTTCTTGAAAGTTCACAACATTTTGGTTTCCTCTGTTAGCAAATGCACATGGAATGAATTGTTTTGAGAATTTGGCTTGTAATTTTGCCTAGTTTTTGTCTTTGAAATGAAATTGTTGAATGGATGCTAAGAATTTATTTAAGGATGCATTTGTTTCTCCCTAAGATGGACAAATGATTTTTCAGATTGGAATATTTCAAATATTATGTCAGCCTCTTATAAAGTGAAGATTTGTTTTGTGCAAATTGTGATGTGGAACTGTTGGTGGCAGCAAGCATCCTTTATGTATTTCTTAAGGTGGTGCAATTGTGACGTGAGACTGTTGATGGTGCTTTGTAGTCATCTAATCTGTATTGCTTGAGCAGATTACCTGCCATTCAACCTTTGAATGAGCATCAGTTAGAGCTTGAAAGGTTATTTGCACTGATTTTATTCCTATGCTGTGCCTAAGTTTGTGCAATGTGGATGGTATTGTACATGGAAGTGCAACTTGGGTGGATCCAACCTGAGCCTGGACTAACCACCCACAATTTTATGTGGCAGGTCTTGGATTTTTGGTCCTTGGGTTGGTCCTGGGCCCAAAAGTTTGGGCTTTTTATTTTTTGGGCTGGACCTGGGCCTAGCCCTAGCCCTTAGGTATTCCAAACTGACCCAAATTTTTTCATACATGTGTATACATTTTTTTTGTAAACCATACATATAATACATGCTTACATATACACATACTTTTATATCAAAGTGTGGGCTGATTGACCAGCCTGAGTGTATCAAATTTCAGTGCAGGCTGGGTCCAGTTTGGACAATGTTTAGGAACCTTGCAAGCATGTGGTATACATGCTTACATATAAACATACACTTACATCAAATTTTAGTGTGGGCTGATTGACTAGCCTGAGTGTATCAAATTTCAGTGCAGGCTGGGTCCAGGTTGGACATTGTTTGTGTTATGGAATATGGATTCATGGTCTTGGGTAGATGTAGAAGCGGCCATATATATCACATGCTTGGAAGGTTCCTAAATCCATTCAGTAGTTCAACTGACCCACAAAATGACTATTTGTTATTACTTCCACAAGTCTTGATCTGCAGTTATCTATTCTAGGGCCATATTTTCTGATTACTGGTAGGCTGTCGAGTATTTCTGCTGTACTAGGTTGCTCCACCTTGCCCTTGTAAAGTCCAAAAGTTGCACTGAATAATTGTTTTGAATGCACATGGCTAGTCCATTTGTAAGCTTGCCTTCATCTTGTTTTCTATTGGGTACGTTCCCTTGGTTCCTGTCATGTGAACATTCTTGTTCTGTCACTTTGTGGACATTGTTTCTTTGTTGCCTGATTAATAGGCTAATTGGGCTGAGATATTTTTCTGGTACTGTATGGTTGGTGCCAAATAGGCCCCATTTGTTTTTTGACAAGTGCATTTACCTGTGTTTTTTTGATCAAAGTGTTTCTCAGGTAAGTTAAAAAGTTGACCATTATTACCCATAAATTGGAACGGGCAATTTTGTCCCATAATGTTTTGGCAACTCCCCCACCCCCAGGTTCCCACCTGGGGAGGTGTACCCATGGGAAAAGCAATTTACCATGGGACCCACAGTTACTAAAGCGAACAGGAGATTGTTGGTCAATGGGAACAACTTTCTCATTCACCAACTATCACCCCTCCCCCCATTTACCAAAAAATGAACAGGGCCTTAGTGTTGAACTAGTGTCCAGATTTCTAATAGTAATGCAAAATTGAAGTCTGTATATATAATATGAGTTATTTTTCTTCTTTGTTTTTGCCTATTTTTTGCTGCCATTGTATTTATCTATTGTTGTGTTTATGATAATGTATTGATTGTTATCCCCTCTAACAAATGCGCTTGCACACACACACACACCCCCAAAAAAAAGAAAAAAAAAAGGAAGAAAGAAAAATTGTGGACATGCATATGCGTACATTTGTTGGGAATTAAAATGTCTACTCTGGTTTGACCATCTTGTCAAACCTGATTACCTCCTGGAATTATTTAGTGTTTGCATTTTGGATGAATCCTCTTACTAATTTGTTTATTTCCCATGTTAACAGTTTCAAGAGCTCAAGTTTCTGCACCACCTGGATTTTCAGTTGCAAGTAGAGCACCTCCTCCAGGGTTCTCTTCTCATGAGAGAATGGACCAGGATTTTGATACTTCTGGTCTGTCTCTGCTCTTATTTTTCTGGTCTGTTTTTATGTCATAGTGAAGTAATTTGATCTCGTTTTTATGTCTATTGTAGGGAATCATTTGCTTGAGAGTTCATTGCTGAGAAATCAGTACCAGGGATTGCCAACTGGGAATATTGGTGGCATTGGGGATGTTGAGTTTATTGATCCTGCAATATTGGCAGTTGGTAAAGGAAGGCTACCAAATGGGCTCGGTAACTCTGGCTTGGATATGAGATCAACCTTTCCCTCTCAACTTGGTGTTTCTGACGATGATGCAAGGCTTCAGTTGTTGATGCAACAATCCATCTCTGCACATCAGAATATGAGATTTGCTGATCATAATAATGCTGATATGTTTTCTCCTTTTAGTGATGCTTATTCTATTCCATCTAGGCTTTTGGAACAATCTCAAGTCAGCAGCATGTCCCCATATGCACAATTGTCACTCCAACAGTCTAGAAACACACGGATGTCAAATGGCCATTGGGATGGGTGGAATGATGTCCAGACTGGAAATGATCTGGGTATGGCAGAGCTTCTCAGAAATGAAAGGCTAGGGTTCAACAAATTCTTTCCTGGTTACAATGATCTGAAATTTCGGATGCCCAGTTATAGCGATCTGTATAACAGGGCATTTGGGATGTGAATTGTGTTAGAAGTGAATCCGTTTTTGTCTGCTTGCTGGCAATTGTATAGACGGGGCAACAGATGTGACCATGTGTGCAACCTCCTCTGTTCTGGGGGATGAGGCTACTGAGTTTCATTTAGCAGTTCTCTTATGCAGGAATCTTGAAGAATGATTGAACTCCTTTTTATTGGCTTTCAGAATGTTGCTCCCTTGGGTTAACTCATTATCAGCAGGTAAGGTGATCTTTTCTCCTCTTGTATTTATAAAGACTTATCTTCATTGTTTGAATTGCTTTATGCTTTTATACTTTGGGGGAAACAGCTTGCCCAATTTGTATGAGATTTAGGTTTTGAATACTTGGTTGAGATGATCATCGTGTGTGGTCTCCGGAGTTTTGGAAGAATTGGACACAACTATCAATGTCTTATTTTTCTTATTTTTGTAGTTTTTTTTTTTAATTACTAGCAGTTTTTAGGTTTAAGAAGTGAAGTTGGAGAAAATAATGTAGTTTACACAAAATCATCAAGCTTGGTGTAAAATCTAGGGCTGACATGTATGACAATGCAGGTTTATGTCTGAGTGTAACATCTAGGGCTGACATGTGTGAGAATGCTGGTTTGTGTCTGAGAGCAGCCACTACAGTGCAAAAGAAAAAAAAGGCCAAAGGTGGTCTGTATCCTATCCTACCCTTCCCAAGACGCCAGATAACTGGGACCTATAGTAATGGCCCTGATAAAACTATGGAGTTCTGTTCACTTTTAGGCTTAGGCAAGCTCTTGGGCTTTTAGGTAAGATGAATGACCTAATCAGTGACAATGCTGACTCCCCCTGGAGAAACGTTGTCTGTCCATATAATGCCTGGTGCAGGGGGTGCAGGGGGCATTTTTTTTCCTGGTTGAGAATGCAAGGGCAAGTTGAGTTTGAACTTTATGACACATGATTTTGGAATTGATGATTTTTGTTTTCTTGTCTGGCTACTGAAGATTCTAGATTTATACTTAGTTTTGGAAGTGATCCCGAGAGCAAGTTTGTGTGTTTATGCCCTGTTAACCAATTGGTTCAAAATCCAAGGGCCTTAACGCCAATTAACAGGCTGTTAGGGGGTGTTCTGTGGATCTCAGTCTGATGGTTGACATCATGTTTGGATGTATGTATTTTTTTTTTGAACAATTTTGTATTAAATTATATTATTCTGTTTTTTTTTCTCAGTATCTTATGTCTTATTTTTTGGTCAATTTGTAGGTAACCTGCAAAGGATCCATGACAAAGGTCGTATGTGCAGCTGTTTGATTGGCTGGCTCACCATCCGGAGGGGATTGCTTTGGTCACACTTTTAAGAGGAGAAAGTATTACTGTTGCAGTCTTCTAACAGGTGTCTGAATACTGTTCCCTTGTTCATATACCTACAAATTCTTTACATCGAAGATTTTAGTCTGACTAAATCAAGCTTAGATGATGCGTATTTTTAACTTAATTTGTGAATTGTCTAAAAACAGATGAATGAAAACTAAAAACGGGTATTACATTGTAACCCATTTACAGTGAGAAAAGTATTATACCTCATGGTAAAGGTTATTGTTGTCTTTAGCACAAAAACTTCTGCTTGGTGATTTCTGCGGGTGTACGGTTCACATGAGTTTGAGATTCAATAGGGTTATGGTTCCTTAAACATGTAATGTGAACAAAATCACTAAACTGGCGAAGCTTTTAAACCTCTTCCTGCCCCCAAGACGTGCATATACAATACACACACAGAGAGAGAGAGAGAGATGGGCCAAGTTTTTTTAGAGGCCCCCGTTAATTGAGTTGATAGAGGGGTAAAAATGTCTAGGGTCGACAATTTCAATTGTACTTCATTGTTTCAATACTGCAAGGATTCGAATTCATCAATTTGACAATTAAAATATTTCTTTCACTCAACGGAAAAACAAGCACGACTCGTTAATTTATTTTTGGCTTTCGTAGTAATTCTACCAACCTGTGATCAGATCTGCGACGCGTTGTTTGTTTTATAAAATGATTGTACAAACCAGTTAGTTTAACAAGTATGCTTTACGCGTGTGGAGAATCATTCAGTCCGCACCTAATCAAATCCGAGTCTAATGGAATGCTGTAAGCCTTTTACTAACTGTTGGTTATCTTTTACGTTGATACCGACAAGGAAATATGCGTAAACATTGATGATAATGGAAATAAGGATTCCATTTCGCTGATCAGTTAGAAATATCAATGGTCAATCCGACAATATTTCATTCGCTTTTCCTGCATCAAAATCCCACGTATAGGCCAATTACGCCTCACCATCTGTATCGCATTCTTCTTTCGTTCATCTCGTCTCTCTCTCTCTCTCTCGTATATTCTCTAATCAAGAAATCAAGCACGGTAGCGAAATTAGATCAAGGAAAAACTCATTTTAAATGTCCTTTTTCATATCTGGTTGGCGAATGAGAACATGCATTAGGAATCATTATTTCTGATATGTGTTCCCATTTGTAGAGAAATCGTGAAATGCCGTCTGCAACAACACTAACGGGAAGAATATCTACAATTCAGGTTTGGCTTGGCCATTCCATTATCACTGTCGAAGTACTTTCCTCTCCACAATTCCGTCATCTCCGATTTTGATCCCGGTGACTACGCTTACGAAAGGCATATAACAATCTCTTGGCAAAACTCTCCTGGCCTGCTCAGTCGATTTTTTTTGACATGGAGTTGACGGGCTCCTTGGCCATGGCACATGTGACCTTGGCTAAGGTCTAACTCTACTATGCTAGGGATGCAACTTGGGTGGGCCCAATCCAAGTCCGAACAAACTCAGTCCGAAATTTTACATGGACTGGGCTTGGTTTTTCGATCCATGGGCTGGATTTAGGCCCAAGACTTTGGGATTTTTTATTTTTTGGGCTGGGACCAGGCCTATCCCATAGATAGCCTGAACCTGCTCCGACTTTGTTTCATCCTGAGTCTGGTCTCGAATCCTGGCCTGGCCTGTTCCCGAATGCATCAAATTATAATGCGGACTGGGAAGGTCGAGCTTGACCTCAGGCTCAGTCTAAACTCAGACTTTAGGCCCAAATCTTTGGATTGGGCCTGGATTGACCATAAACCCGATTCATCTCGCCCAACTTGCACAGGGAATGAAGAATGTGGAGATCAAAGTTGTGACTCTCAAAAAGGAGGGTTTGATATAGGCAATGCATGAAAGACTAACGCGGGAGATTTTCTTTCTAAACACCTGGACTGGACATCGTGCAGTTATTCAATTTCAAGGGCATGGGCTCTTGGCTACAGAGGCCAAGATGTATTTCCGTAATGAATTGAGTCAAAGGAGGGGGAGGTGTTGAACAAGTTTGCATCCATGTGTCAAGCTATTAATAGTTTCCATCTCGGATTATTTTTTAATTTTTTATTTTGATTTGTCAAATTGTCATTTGATATGATACGACTTTTTATCGTTTAAGAAACGATGAAATGACATAACTTTAAATGGAACACATATTAGTGGTCTTGAAAATTGATATTGTATCGATATTTTGAACTTTGATCTATGCCAACACTATATGTCTATATCAGTGCCACATCAATCATCAATCGAGGTGTTGAAATTTCCTTTCTCAAAATAGGAAATATGAAATCGATGTTTCTTAACACCTTCTTAATACCCCTCTCTAAGTGCCATATCAATCTGGATTTACTACTGACAAGATGCTGATTAGAAGATCCCATAGCTGTACATCGGGAATATCTCTTATACTTGTATATCACTGTGTTGTCACTAATGGGCTGTAGTGGATGTGGCTAGCGGATCCAAACTTGTAAGTCACTGGCTTGCATTGAAATTATAGAATAATGGATCAGTGAAGATACAAGATTACATCGAAGCATTGCTTGCTGTCCATCATTCATCTGGTGGGCCATTTCCTCCTAAAGTCCTAATCCAACCAAGTTAATGGTTAACTTTAAGGTTGTGTTTGGTTTGAAGGAAAAAGTAGAGAAACCTTTACATACCTTGTATAGTATTTCTTACCTTTTCCTTCAAACCAAACATAGCGTAAAGGAAAAAAAATGTAATCTAATATCAAGATGGGGATCAATATGGACGGCTATGAATGGGTGATCTATCATATACCAATCTGTAGTGTTAACATTTAAGTGCTGCGAGAATGCATCAAATTCCTCACCCACCCGAATCTGCTACAAATTCAAATGTGTGTAATGGGCTATGTAATCAGTTAGGAATAAATTACATCAGTGTTTCGTGTAATGGGTCCCACAAAGCCGGGATCTGTTGTAAATACAGCCATGTACAATTGGCTACATAATCCATCACAAATGAACATGCCAGTTTTCTATACATACGGGGCCCACATGGGTGTGGGTCTCGTGTGTACACAGTTCGGCACGCAGCAGATCCCAACTGCAAATTTCCCACATCCCATCTTACCTGGAGGGGTCCATCTCTTTCTCTCTTCTCCTCAACATCTCTTTCAGCCTGTCCACGTCAAATAATGCAAAGAGCTGAACGACAAACACAGTAAATTCTAATAATATAGTCTTGTACTCTCTCTCTCTCTCTACAGAGTACAGACTACAGAGATGCTCCCTCAATTCATTTACCTTTGATGTTAGACTCAGGAGAGGAGAGAGAGAGAAAATCCAATTCAAACCTTGTAAAGAATAATGACCAATCCTTTCACAACCATTCTTTCTTCACCATCATCCACATATAGAACTCTAGGAGGTAGGGAACTGTCTGCCTTTATTTTATTAGTTTCCCTTTTTCTTCTTAGCAATCATCGTGACCTTAGCAAACATGGCAAACTCAAAGGCTTCCACGTCAGTCGGTTTTGTTTGTTGCTTGCTCTTGCTTGTGGATCCCGTGCCACCAGGCCCACCACCTCTCTCAATCTCTCTCTCTCTCTCCTTTCAGTCTTTCACCATCGTGTATCTCGAGCTTATTATTTTCTCAGGGGAGGACCACCTTCACCGTTATTTGGGCGGGGCTAATAAATAATGTTCAATGGCCGGCCCAAGTCATTATCTTTTAGGCTGGGCTGGTGGGCCACGCCCATCGAGATAAATCCTGAATCATTAAATGGAGGTGAACCCACCCACCTACCACCGTACTGTAGCGTACAGTGTCGGGCCGGAAAATGAACAATAATCCTTTTGAAAGCGACAGTCCATATCCGCACGGCACAAGTCTAGGGCCGTTTGATAACAGCTGAAATCAAATTACTGAACTGAAAAGTTTCGGTTAATAAGTTTTTAAGAAGGTCGTGGATTCCTTTTCAGTATAATTACTGAAGTTGAAGTTAGTACATCATTATATCCTTCAAAATTTTATTATCTATTTTTTTTTTGTCAAATAAAAAACAAAACAAATCGCACGTAGAATCTCGTCACGGGGCGGTCCATGGGGAAAATTCCTAGCCTTCCCTTGTCCTTCCCTTTGCGTACTGATCCTATTGTGGCGAACTAGGGGGTGATTTGTCCAAGAGATCACCCTAACTCTCCTAAGCTCTTCTCTTGATTGAAAATTCCATTCCTTTTCATTAATTTGTGGCTCCTTAAATAGGAGATTACAAAAAGAAATTCCTAATTAAACTCAAACTCCAACTTGAAATCAAGCTCCTAATTACCTACTCCTAATGGTAACACAACTCCTATTTAAGATAAGATAAGATAAGACAAGATAAGATAAGATGGAGTAGCTGGCGGCGAGTTGGCAAGAAGAGATAAGTGTAGACCCACCCTGATGAACTGTCGTGTGGGTCCTGTTCTATTGCTGCTGCCGGGCGGCATGCATGCCTCGCAGTGCTGCTGCCGTGTGGTGCGGTGCGTGCTGTGCGCTGCTAGGCAGTACGTGCTGCTGTGCGGCGCTGCCGAGCGGTGCATGCTTCTGCGCGACCTGCTGTGCGTGCCGTTGCCTATGACTATGCCGCAATGTGCCGTCAGGCGGTGTGTCCATAACAAATAAGTCTTTCACTTCATCAACTTCATCGATCATCAAATAACACCATAATATTGAATAATTGAAATTAGAAGTAGAAAAAAACAGACAAAAGGGGTGGAGCGATGATTTTATGTTAGAAGGTTAAAAGTTAGTGAACATATAGATTAGGGGGAGGCAAAAGTTTTTTTTTTTCCTATTTTTTTTTATATCCTTTGAAAGGCTACACAACGGGAATAACCCGTCCCCCAACTCATAACCCCCTCAACCCAGGTGCAGGCGGGATTCGGTCCCAAATCTTCACTCCGACCGATAGGAAACCTTACCAACCAGCTGGTTGGTACCTTACAGGGGGAGGCAAAAGGTAATAAACATGGATAAAGGCCAAAATATAAGTAGAATATCAATAGGGATTGTGGGGATTTTTAAGGCAAAGCGGGGTCGGGTGGGTATGGCTCCCCCCGCCATGCCCGGACTCCGCCCCTGACTGACATGTTACAAAAACGTGCAACACTCTCCAGTCTCCACTAGAACATGGTCAATTTCAAACCAATTGGTTCCTTTTGTCCAGTGCTACATAAAAATAATGGTAAAATATAAAACCTCCCCTGAGTTTTTTGACAATCTTATAAAT